TGTTCTCTTAATTTTTCAGCTGTGCAGCCGTACAGGTTCTTCATTGTTGTGTTCAGTGTTCAAGTTCTGGACTGCAGGAAGGCCAGTCTAGCACCTGGCCTCTCTGATTACACAGCTAAGCTGTTGTAACACGTGCAGAATGTGGCTTAGAATTGTCATGTTGAAATAAGCATGGACATTCCCGAAAAAAGATATTTGTTGCTCCAAAATGTGTTCAGCATTAATGATGCCTTCACAGATGTGCAAGTTACCCTCTAATACCACCCACCCCATGACAGACCCTGGCTTTTGAACTTGAACTTTTGAATTTGAGCTTTCTGGATGGTCTTTTTCTACTTTGTCCTAGAAAATACAACATCAGTCATTTCCATAAACAATCTGAAATGTCGACTCATCAGACCACAACACACATTTCCACTGTGTATCAGTCCATTTCAGACGATGCCTGAATCTTTTGATGTTATTATGCACTGCCTTTCCTGGATGCTCCTTTCATATCCAAGCATGATTGCTGTTCCTAGTATTAAATTGCCCCTGTCGCAACTTTTGTGGCATCAGTTTCAAAATAAGCATATTTTTACAAAAACAATGAGGTTGACAAGGACAAACATTACATGTCTTGTCTTTTTACTGTCAAATACAGGTCAAAGTAGATTTATGAATCACTGTTTCCTGTTTTTATTTGCATTTTATATATTGTATCAACTTTTTTAGAATTGAGTTTGTAGCTTATCAGGCCCTAAAAGCCCTTAAATGCAAGCTTATTATTTAGTTATTAGTCTAAAGACATTATTCAGTAACTGCTAGATAACAGCAGTGAGTAACTGAAGTGTGGGTCCACAGGTTAGTGGTTAAGGGGTAAATGGCATAACAGCAGGTCTTTCTACCAAACAGTGTCCAACAACTGTGAAGCCATAAAAATGAGTTCAAATAAGAATAAATAATAAGAATAACCCATAGAAAGTTCATGTCTGCATATTAATTGTTCAAAGATTATGATAATCCTTCTTTTTTGTGATATTCTGTCATCGTTGTTGTACATGTAAAACATCATATCACAGCACTTCACAGATGCTGAAGTATTATGCATATGTGAAACAACAACATGATGCTAGCTTTTCAGTTTAAATTACAAACAAAGTTAAAATTAAATTCTTTTCTGTTGTTTATTTTTTGAAATACAAATTATTTTATTCTGAGAATAAATCTTGGCCTTTTTAGTGAGGTTACAGACACATGAAGCATAATTTATAGAAAAAATCTAACAAATAAAAAACACAGGCCTTTTTGAATGACTTCTTGTATTAGTATCTCAAAGGAAGTGAACTCTAAGAGGTCTATTATATAAACACTTCTGATAAATGTTGCTAAAATACTGACAAGTTCATGTGTTGCAACAAGATTGTGTCAGCGGTGTTACTCGTGAACCATTACATGATTTTAAAATTGAAACAAAATAACATGAATGCAATATTTATTTTCCACACACAGTGTGACTTTTAAACTATACTGACCATGGACTATACTTTAGAAAAGCTCATATTTTAGTTTTGTCAGTGGTGTTACAATTTTACTGATACTACATTTTACTTTCAATTCCAGATCAACATTCATACCTTTGCCACTGCAGTGGTAGAATGACCAAACACATGTAACATTTTATAATGCGCTGGAAATCTGTGGTAAACTTTTGCTTATCAAATTACCACCACTGAGATAATGCGAATTTTTATTAGTGTCGTAGTGGGTTATGTTAGCACCAAGCGAATATTCACTTTCTCTCTCTGGGTTTAATACTACTTATAGCAACTACAACCCCATTTCCAAAAGCTGGGACTCTTTGCAAAATTGAAATAAAAACAGAATGCAATGATGTGCAAATCATTTAAACCCTAATAAAAAAAAACTAAGAAATGTAATTGATTTTTTGAAAAATATAAGCTCAGTTTGAATTTGATGCCAGTAACATGTTTCTAAAAAGTTGGGACAGGGGTAACAAAAGACTGGTAAAGTTGTGTAATGCTAAAAAAAACACATATGGTGGAACATCTCACAACTAATTAGGTTAACTGGCAACAGATCAGTAACATGATTAAGTATAAAAAGTGCATCCCAGAGAGGCTGAGTCTCTCAGAAGTAAAGATGAGGAGGGTTCATCACTCTGTGAAAGACGGCACGATCAAATTGTGCAACAATTCAAGAATATTGATTCTGAATGTAAAAAGCAAAGAACTTTTGCTTTTCATCATCTACGGTACATAATAACATTAAAAGATTCAGAGAATCTGGAGAAATCTCTGTATGCAAGGAACAAGGCTGAAAAACAATATTGGATGGTCGTGATCTTTGGGCCCTCAGGTGGTGATGATTCTGATACACATGATTCTGTAGTGGAAATCACTGCATGGGCTCAGGAACACTTTCAAAAACCATTGAGTATGAACACAGGTTTTCATTGAGTTAGAACTCTACCATGCAAAGAAGAAACCATATATAAATAGGATCCAGAAACACTTTTGCTTTCTCTTGGCCCAAGCACATTTAAGGTAAACCGAGGCGAAGTGTTTTGTGGTTCAACAAATCAAAATTTGAAATTCTTTTTGGAAATCATGGACGATGTGTCCTCCAGGGTAAAGAGGAGAGGGACTTTTCGGCTTGTTACCAGTACCCAGTTCAAAAACCAGCATCCGTGATGGTATGGGGTGCATTAGTGCGCCATTAATGCTGTGTGATATTTACAGCTTTTGGACACATGCTGCCATCCAGACAAGTCTTTTTCAGGGAAGGCCTTGCTTACTGCAGTAAGACAATGCCAAACCACATTCTGCATGTATTACAGCAGCATGGCTACATAATGAAACAGTCTGGATGCTAAACTGACCTGCCTGCAGTCTAGACTTGTCACCCATTGAAAACATTTGGTGCATTATGAAATGAAAGATATGACAAAATAGACCCCAAACCATTGAGCAGCTGAAATCATATATCTAGCAAGAATGGGAAAAGATTTCACTTTCAAAACTACAGCAATTTGTCTCAGTTCCCAAATGCTTCTAGTGTTGTTAAGTAAAGGTATGAAAAAAATGTAGGAATATAGTTTGAACACGTATTTTGACTTTTTCTTTTACTTTTTGTACTTTTCCCTTTTGCCTAGTGGCCTTATAAGATTTTGTAATGCATGCCACATCTGTCCAGTGCACTGCAAAAGGCTGAAACCCAACTGCTTTGAAGTTTTTTTTTTTACTTTTTGTTTACTTACTTTTTCCAAACAACAACACTGGTTCTGACCTGACCCCACAAACCAGGTGTTCTCAGATGGGGTCAGCAACGTCTACTGCTAAAAATACAGGATGTCCCAAAAAAATTGACATAATTTGAGATGTGAATATCTGAGTAACTACATGTCCTAGGCAAACAAAATTAAATAGGCTTCATGTTGAACAATACAAGATTTATTTATCAAAATTTGAAGAATTTCAGAGGGATGTAGATTTTATAACCGATTTCACAAAGCTTCACAAATGTAATATCTTCCTATACTGGTGGTCGTCCAGATCCCTTTGCCCTGCACAGACAGCCTTCCTCTTTGAATTTTGTGTGCCATGTCCAAATCTGCTTTCCAGTTGGTGCATTTTTATTGAATTTTCTCAAAAATGCACGCTGCACACTCTTGTTTGGCTGTGTTCGAGCATATTCCTACACACAAAATGCCTTTTCATTTCTAGTGAACGCCATTCTTCAACCTGAAAAAAAACATTAAAAATTAAACTTGGTTAGTTTTTACACATTTTGTTAAAATTTGAGATCATTTGAGGGAGAATTGACTATGTTATTAGACTACAAAATGATGTCAATTTTTTTGGGACACCCTGTACATTAAGTACAGATAAAGATGCACCCAAGTCCGGTTGTTCTTACAAGTAAAAAAGCACAGAGCACTTTTTTTACTTGTAAAAACAACCAGACTTGGGTGCATCTTTCAGTGGTCTTTCCACCAAGGCGAACATATTAGGTACTACATGCAAGGATGCAAATATTGCTATATTTGTATCATCTGTAAATTGTAGGTATCTTTAACTCTGTGCCATGCTGTCATATCATTGACCATGGCACTTAAGTGCAGAGAGAAGGAAATTGTGTGTTGTTTTATGTCGTAATGTTTCTTTGTTTGCCTCTCAGCATCAGTAGATTGGCATCCATGCGACAGCACTGTAAAAGGCTCGGCAGCATTATGATGGAGTGCTTTGGGTAATAGATGTGTTCTGTAATGTGGTCGTGGTGGAGGCGGAAAAGAGCAGGGCCTGCAGTGCAGAGTAGTTGTATGAATTTAAATAAAGCCCTGACTGTGAGTAAGTGCATCAATGAGATGCTGATTTTTTTTCCTTTCTTTGTTCTCATGGCTGAATTGACTGAAACGCAGCTGATTTACGCTTACTAGCAGCCGAACGCTGGCTGAGCTGTCCCGGTTATTTACTTTCTGCATTGCTCTGCTGGGTATTGGCCAGTTATTTACTGCAAATGGTTGTGTTGGTTCTGGAAGGCTGAAAATTGGGCTTTTATTTATTTATTTATTTATATTTCAATTAATGGCAGTGCGTCAGAGCTGAGATTTAAAGGCTCAGAGGAATTCGCCATTGTAACAGTGGCGGGGGGCCGGGGAGGCAAAGCGATATTGCCTTGCCATTTATGGAGTCTTTCAACACACAAAGATAGGCTGTAGAAGTGTGCCTAAGGAGATTTCACTTTTAAATGTCAGGGAAAGAACAGAATTTTCTCCACAGTGTAGCATTGGCAATGTTTTGCCATACAGCCAATATCTGAGCATGGTAGGTCCATTCAGGGTTGAGTTTAAGTTGGTTTTCTCATTACAGGAGTGTAATAATTATGTGGTACATGTTGGGCTGCTGTTTACTGTTAGTCTGGCAGCTGTGCTGACATGAGAGTGACAGTAAATGGTAATGGCTCTGCAGAGGCCTACTTCCTTAACCTGCTCTCCATAGACATGAAGCTGGGAAGAAATGTTGCAAGGACGTTCCTGGATTACTATAAACTAAACAACCTGATTGATGACAATAAATTATCAAGTCATATTAACAGGTATGTACATGCATTCATCTTCTTTTAGAAGAAATGGTTCTTCTATTGTTTTCTTCCTTCTTAGAGATTCTATTGCCAGTAGGTAGAACACATTCTTAAGTATTTGACATTAAGCCAAGGTCAAGCTTCAACCTAGGATAATTTTCATCATGTCACTCTTTCATGCCATAACTTTTGCACAGGCCACATTTATTGTTATATATTTTCATTTTGTATATTTTTCATACATTTCATGTTTACATTTTTCCCAACATGTTAAATTCAGCAAATAAACAGTAATTATGTATAGAAAAATAGAGGATGTGTTCACTTATTTTCACTCAAATTCAACAAAACATACTATTTAGCCAGTGATGGCCAAATCTTTATATACAAATGTATATTAACACTCGTTAGATAAGACCAACTATGGTGTATTGTTTGTACTCATTTTTTTATTGAGTTGTAGTTTGTAGTGTATTTGTAGTGTATTTGTACCACTCAGAACTGAGTTTAGATTTAATCTATGTTTTCACTGCTCAGCTGACATAGTTTTTTAGATAGAAAAGAATCTTGGACGTTTGTATTCACTCAACAGCTCTACAAAGAACCATTTAAGATCATCTAAAACGCTTATTTAATCATGATCACAATCAGAAAAAAATCCCTTTAACCTCTATTAAACTCTGTCAGACAAAATAAGCTCCCAGACTAGAGCTTCCAAAACGCAAACAATTTAGAGGACACCTAATTTAAAGGGTTTTTTTCTCGAATCAATTAATGTGAGCTAGACTTGACTTTTAATGACAACTAAAAAACAGCTTTGCTTTTTGAACATTGTCATTAAGGCTTTTCTTTGAAAGCTCATCATTCTGTTTCTGTTGACAGTGTGGATAGCGTACCTCCTGGTCGCCAGGGGAGTAACGCTGGAAACGGAAGGAATCAAAATGGGGAGAAAAGTGAGAGAAGATTCCAAGGAGTCAGAGACTACTGAAGCACAATATAACACACGTTCCCAAGCACAAACACGCAGCGTCTTGTGGACACTCAGGACATGGATCCTTTAAAGAAAGGACAAAAAAAAGAGGTCATCATCATTTACAATCTGTTTCTGGACTCACCTGATATCGGCAGTGTCTTTAAGTCTCTACACAAATACTTTATTACTTGAAGACATCAAGCGTTGAAGGATAATGATTGTTTTGATTTGCCTTTTTTTTGCCTTTTTGAAATACCAACAACAGTGTGCTTTGCCTTTTGGAGTTGCCTCTTATCTTCATAGAAGATGTATTTAATTCAGTTGCACTTATTCCTGTAAAGTGATTGCATGCATTATCTTCAGAGTGCTGTGTTTTGAGTTTATCTTTATTCTCTGGTACTTGTCTCGCTTATGTGAATGCATTAAGATTGTTTTTATAAGGAAAATGTGATTACTGTGATGGTTCATTGTATTTGAGAATTGTACTCACAGGCTTTAGCCAACGCTTTTTAATTTGCAATTTATGACTAAGTGCTTTTGTTCAAAGACAGTTTTGAAATTTCTGTTACAAAAACAATCTTTTGATTTCTCACTCTCACAGCATTATCTCAGGGTGGAGACTGTCAACTCATTGTCTGCTGAGATCCACCAAATTATCATACCATACATTAAATATATACTACAGTTTCTGAATCTCTTAAATACATTTCGGCAAACTGTGTCTCCTTCCATCTCTCACTCTCTCAGACACAGGCTGGAGCAGGATGGCTCAGACTATCAGTCAAGAGTGGCGTGAAGAGCAGCGTGTATTTTTCAGGCCAGTCATTCGGAATAAGTGAGGCAATCAGTCAGAACCAGCATAAACAAATGACTCGCATTTTACATGGTAGACGAGAAGATGGAGAGAGCTAATGCGAATGAGAAAACACATCCATCTACAGATTCTTACACACACCCACCTCACATGCCAGCACATAAAAGCTGCTTTGCACCTCACCTCCCCACTGGGCTGTCATCTTTTTTTTTTACCTGTATCTCGACCCATTACTCCCTTTAGCTTGCATCAGTAAACCAGGCACATCATGGCCTAATTGTCCTTATGTGGCTGAAAATTGTTAATACTTTTCCCCCCATTCGACATTGTCATGTTCTATTCTTATACACTGATTCCTTTGGCATTGTGAATTCACCATCAGGGTTCTTCAAGCACAAACCTTTCTGCTGTCTCCAAAGACTTTATAGCACAGAATAAAATTGAATGAAATGGCCCTATTCTAAAAAATAGACCTCTTTAAACCAGAGCAGTGTACAGCAATCATTCACACTGTACAACTTTCAGACTCGGTAGATCTGCAATGTATGCAAAACTATAAATGACGGTAATTTCCACAGGGTTTTAGTTTGTATATAGGTTTCCAGTGCCGTTTCTTGAAGACCCCCTGCACCCAAAAATGTGTTTATTGGATGCTGTATTATGGTTATACAGACTGTTATTTGCTTATAATGTGTTACTTTAGCGCAGAGATCACATTTTTCCATTGAAAACACAGGCTCAGTACATTGGAAAAAAGTGATTCATAAAGGAGGAGACAGGTCACTGCTTGAAATATGCATGGGAAAACTCATAACGCTCAACTTGGTGTCAACTTGGGAAAGCCTCTTTTCACTGTGGAGATCTGCGCAAGTGCAGTAGCCAGAACAAACTGAATAAACAGGTTTTTTTGTGTGTTACTGAGCCAAATGCTACAACCTATTTATTAGGTTTTGGTCCAATTTTTTCAGTAATTTCAAATATGTTTTTAAATTACTAATTTGACTTTCAGTTTGGACTATTTTGGTCTCTCCCCATTCAAAGAAATATGAGGCTGGTCTTGTATGAGTGGAAAAAACTGCCCAGGGGCATTGCAAAGATGGCCACCAAGTGAACAGTCTTTCCTATAAGGACTTTGGTGCTATGCAGCAGCTTAGCTTTGTCACCAATGAGCTTGAAACTATCATGGTCCAATATACTAAAATATGCTAAGAGGATTAGAACAAGAGCAAATGGATATGACATGAGTCTGAGCTACCGATGTCAAACCAGTGCTAGCTGTGTCCATATATACTATATATTTAATCTTTGGTTAAGGGCAGAATGAGCACCTGAGTCAAGAGGGAGATAGAAACTGCTGCTCCTCCCGGCGTAGCCTCAGGCGTGATCCAGCAGCCGCGCCACTAGAAGTTAGTATAGCTAGCGTTAGCTTACTGAGAAGGCTTAAATGGCTATACACACAACCACGCAGGTTCATTCTGGCTCATTGAAGCCTATTTTACACAAGTCTAAAGAACAAGCACTCAAATCTGAGCGGGTAAACCTATGTTTTTGTGTGTGGAGCTCTTAGCTTAAGCTTCTTTTAATTTAGATCCTTGTTGCACCAGTGGCTAATGTTAGCCTAGCAAGTAAGCTAGGTTAAACCACCAGCAATTCTAGGCCACTGATGCTGCGCTGAGGCACGCTTAGTTGCTGGAGTGACAGACAAAATCTTACTGATTATTAAATTTACAGTAGGAGTGTTTGTTTCTGTTCTCTCTTATCAGGTCAAACACAGAGACAGCTTGCTTAGTGGTGGGGGAAAGGGCAGGGTCTAGAAGTCAAGACTGAAGGTGCATTCCAATCGCCCTCATAGTTCCCTGCAAAGTGTACTGCACAGGCATTTTAAGGGGGATTCCAGACCACAGGGAGTGAAAAAGTTCTGCTGGAAGGGAGCTTTAGACTGCATAAGGAGTAGTGAATGGTTTATCATCACAGGAAGCTGCAGCAAAGTTTACCCATCCATCATTGCAGGTCTTTTTAAAAAGCGTGTTTGATGACAACACTGCAAGACGTCCTGAATTAAGATATTTATCAACTGCAGTTCCTTTAGCCGACATCCCGTCCTCAAGTGTGTATGGAATGTAACAGTACTGCTTAGGGACCCTGTAAAATGGAATGCAGCTTACGTCAAAAGGGAGCAGAGACCAAGTCCGACCTTGTGTTTCAATGCCAGTTTTAACAAGCCCTTGTCCACTTGGGCTCATAATTTCACAGGAACTCCCTAGTGCCATCTTAAGGGCTGTTCCATTACTTTATTAGCTCAAGGGTGTTAGATGAGGCCTCGAAGGAGCGAGGGAACGATCGAGCGAACACCAGTGTCCGCTTCAGCAGCAGAATTTGACCAGAAATCATTGTGACCTGACACGTCCCCTTTTGAACCCGAAAATAATGGCGGACGAAGCTATTTGTAAGCTATAGCAATAAACTAAAATGCTTAACGCTATTCCTTCTGTTGCATGACTGCTTCACTTTCCTCTGCTAGCTGGATTGTTAACATGCTCGGCATTTCACCACAGTTGCTAGCTAACGTTTACACCCATCTATAAAAGCAGCTTGATTGTGTCATACATATAACGCTTCGAATTTGATGAACAATACAATGCAATCTGAATTATGTTATTTGCATGTTGACTAATAAGTTAGTGTCCTATATGAAAGGACTCTTTGGATATTGTGCCCATTTTAATTCATTAATTCAATATTTTTTATTCTAGATCTAAATTAAATAAATCATTATTTTTCATTATTTCAATCAAAGTAATATGACAGGGATGAGTGGGTCCCCAGGTAAGGCCTCCCAAATGTTGAGAAATAGTCCTGCAGGTTTCAGTTTGCAGCAGCAGGTCGAAAATTAAGTCTAGACATTATATAGGCTTAAATCAGGACTGCAAATGTTTCATTTGGTAAATCACAACTGAAATGATTTAGTGCAAGACTCGGGCTAATCCAGGTCCAGGAAACTTTAATATACTAAATCCCAACGGGCTCCCAGTGGATATGAAGTGCACTATTTGGATGCAGAATCCCTTATTTCATGCCCTATGTAGTGCACTATTTAGGGCGTACAGAAGCATGGGAGATTCAGCCTCGGTGGCGCTGCACTGAGGAGGTCACATGACCGTTTGATCATTTCCCGTTTTTTCAAACCATTCAAACTTTTAACCCGAGCGCTGAGTGTATCTATGGCAACGGCGAGTTAAAGATGGGAGGAGTGACGCCGCTCCACAAGACTTCACACTCCAGAGTACGACGGAAAGCTTTGAAATGTACTGTAGAACTAAAAGTCCATGCTGTAAGTTAACACACACGCATGCTTTTCCACTTTCCCTCACCGAACTGTTATTTAGCTCTTCTGTCGGCCGTTTTCGGTGTTCATTTGCTTCCAGCTACAAGCGCTAATTTAGCTAACGCTAGCTAATGGAGCTAACGGATGTTGCTAATTAAAGTGGATAGCCAGAAATGTAAACAGTGGTCATCTCTCTGGCAAATTTAGACGTTTTCAGTTTGTTGTTGAACGTGTCGACTTCTGTAGCTGACTGTAGTTCAGTACAGTATCCTGGAATTAGCCAAAATAACCCGTTCCCTCCTTTTAGCTAACAGCTAGTTATATAAATGGAAGTTCATTAACTAGCGTTACTGGTCTAACACTAAGTTACGCTAAAGTGTTTGGTCCCAAGTTCTGTTGCGATTTTATTTTTATATTACCTGCTAAGCTAAAGCTTTATAAGTTTGTTCCTTGAAGTCACATCGACTCTCTCCCCGTAGATCACCTGTCCGGGGGTCTTTTTACCGTCCCGAGAGGACATTTACTTGAGTGTCCGAATGATGGGACAGTACCGCAAAACAAAGTGTCTACCCTTCGATTTTCCTCTTCTGATGCACGAAAAGATGGTGTTTACAAAGGTAAGTCTGTAGGGAAAATAACTAAACTCCTGAATGTCAGAATGTCATTAAACCAGATAAACCAAATGCTCTGCAGAGTAATAAAATGTGCCAAACATTCGTAGGTGCCCTGCAAATTTAGAAAACACTTTCTTTAAAATCACTAGACCAGCGCTACAATTTACAAACATGCCGCAAATACAGAAAACACATGCAACTCCAGAAATGCTGCACTAATGGTGAACTAATATCACTCTATCATAATGGGAATTTGAGTGGAACTGTACAATTTCAAACAGCAATACAAGATGTGACCAATAACTACTGTAGTTCAGCTATGTCATGTCAGACAGCTAACTAGACAGCCAAGTTAGCCACGAACTTGCTGGAATGTGAGTCTCTGTGGTCTTATCAACCTCTGACAGTGATTGTTCATCCATGTTGAGAGCTCCAGAAACATTACTATTGTGTCGCTTGGCTCTGCAGCATTTCTGTATTAGCAGTGCATTTGTGAAAAGCAGTTTAGATGTAGTCTTGACGATGAAAGTGTTTTCTAAATTTGCTTTGCAAGTTTGCGACACGTTTTTCATTGTACTGTGCATTGGGACTTGCTGGCCACCGTATTAAGGCGTAATGTGGGCTAGGCAGGATAATTGTATTTATGCAGTCTGTTGGCTATATAGTAAGTTGACTGTGTGTAGCTTTATCTTTGTTTAAACTTTATGTGAACACATTCTGTAGGCATACTTAATGTTGTCCTTTGTGCTGTATTCACAAAGACTCACAATCCTTATAGGCTGTTGGTAAAAATAATTTACTACAGCATATTTTCGTTGTCTCTCTTCATCAGACCTTCACAGGAGCCGTTGACCCTGGTGATATAGCTGATCATCTGGAGAGTAAGAGCTATTTGGAGCTGTGTTTGTTTCTCTGCTTTTACTCCTGATCCTTATATACTGCAGATCAATAAACTAATAAACACTCCTACACATTTTTGTTTTTCCTGCAGATGATACAACCTGTTTTGAGCTCATTCAGCTTGTCCCCCCAGGTAAGGATCAACTGCGGTAGGTCATTGAATCCTGGCTTTAGATTGACTGTTCTATCCAGATGCTGTTCACTCATCCTCAGATGTCTGGGCCACTGATCATATGATGCTGTTCCCTTCCTTCTTGCTGTAAATCCCATAAATTTGATTAATATAGTAATCCTGTCTGAATGCAACGCAAGTGTTTGTAATAATTACCATTGTCAAACCTAATTACTGTGAACTTCGGAGACAGCCTTGTAAATAGAGTTTTTGTGTCCATCAGTGAAATCACTATGTTACATTAATACAAATGGCTTTGATGATGATGTCCAGCTGCCAACAGCATGCAGCTGGGTTTTTGACATCGTATTACAGTGTCTCCCTCCACACTGAAGGCATTTGGACTGTACAAACTGATACTTACTGTCTGAGGCTTTATGCTGTAGTCAGAAATCTGATTTTGCGAAGCCGTGTTGATAAAAGCCTCATTCACTGCAAAAACATTCTGAGTTTAGCATGAAAGCTGAGCATGAACCTTATTGTGCCCTCTCTCTCTTCACACAGAGGGAGAAATTCTGGCCACTCTTGAAGAGAATACCAGAGACTTCCTCTACCCAGGCCCAAGGCTGACTCCCCAAACCCCTGGTTCAGAGAGAGAGATTCTGATGAAGAAATCCGTCTCCTTCCCGGTATGTATCTCCCCGTGCTGTCATATCTCTGATGCATCTTAAAAGCCTGTGCCATTTTCCTGCTATTTGCTTGAGGACATAGATTGTTTGGGCAAATTGATCTGCCAAGAGTGTTATTATCTTCCTTTGCCCTCTGTCTTTGCATCATTTTAAAAGTTTTGTGATGTTTTTTTCTCTCTCTACTCTCGTTTTATCTTCTCTCGTTCCCTAAGGGGATCTCGCCCAAAGTGGAATTTTCAACCACATCTGTTATTGAGGAGTGTGATTTGAAAGGTAGCCAGACAACCTTCTCGGTGAGTCTTTTTTTTTTTTTGACATATTTTTTGTTCCACTGTGGGAAGTATGTGTCACAGTTAATGATTTGCAATTTAGCAGTCTTAAAAGGGAAATACTAGAGATGCACTGATCTTGAATTTTTGGCTGTTTCCGATTTCTTTACAGGCAAAAATGGCTGATTTGTTTATTAGCACCCCCGCTTTTTAACCTTAAATACCTGTTGTGTGCTACATGAACACATGAAGCTCACTTTCACACATTCCAGTACTTTCAGTTAGCCAAAGTAAATGAAAAAACAGTTTCCTTTTTAAATAACTGAATCAAATAAAGTGCCACATTGGAAGTAAGAGGCACACTTTACAATGTTCCCCGGAATTCCTGGAAAAGCTGGAAATGTATAGAGTAATCTTCTAGTCATTGAAAACCCTTGGAAAATTGAAAATTGGTGAAATGTCCTGGAAAAGTGGAAAATTGAAGATTTTTACATGTTGCTGCTGTTGGAACAAAACCTTGTACCTTCAAAAAGTTAACTTTACAAAAGAAGGAAAAAAATGTTCTTAACTTATAATCAAAGTTAATCAAGAAAGGATTTATTCCAAATAATTTTGGAGCATTTCTGTTGATCCATTCATCATGAAGAAAAAAAAAAAGGAAACAACATGGAAATATGAGGTTTTGTCCTTCTAGTGTCGATATTCTTTCTTGCATTTTAGCTTATTTTTAGCAGCTGATGTTTAGTTTGAATGTCCATTCATACCTCTTGTAGTTAATAATGCTACAGTGTGGAGTGTGGACATATACGTAGGCGCTGTGTTGGGACACGTAGCAGAGCAAGGCTACATACTTGCAGCTTCTAATATTGCAGTAGAATTTGTGATCAAATGATGAGTGATTAAGGAATGATTTGTGTGTTAGTGTCTCAGTCACTAAGGGTTCATTAGGGGTTGTATTGTTTCCTTTGATGTTAAAGATGTCAGCAGTTGCATGCCATTTTAAGATGATCTTTCGTGAGCAACAGTTGTGATGTGTATATAAGTCAAGGAACTCGTCTTGTAATTTGTTCTGGACGTCCAGGGAACTGATTTCCAAAAAAGAGCGGGAACACTGATTTAGCACAATGAATGATGCATGATAATGCTATGACATTTTGGTACAGTTGTAGCAGAAGCATTCAAATACAGTGCGAGTGCACTTACCCACTCACATTAAAAACTGCAACACAGATTGGCAAAAAGTTTACAAAAATGGCCAATTGTGTGTTTGCAGCAAAAAAAAAAATTGATTCCAATCATGCATGCCTAGAAAGTACCAAGCTGAACTTTAGTGTTTCAAGATTAGTGTGTTGAGGCTTCTAAACTTAATGGAGAATAGTACATATTTTTCAAAAAATCTGAATAATTCAGTTAAGATGTAAATAAAGTAATCCAGAGTGGCTTGATGTGAAAGGGTTTGTTGTAGAGAAACTTGCTTTCTTTACAGTGGTGGTGAATGGAACCAGAGGCCATTTTATTTACTATCCAAAACAACTGGTGAACCTACACGTCTTCCGAGGAAGTGTATTCTTAACTGTTTTGTGAGGCAGTTTTTAAGAGATGTTAAACTCTTCAGATGTCTGGTTCCTATAACCACCAAAGTGACATTTTCAGTCTCTGTAACTTTTTCTAGAACGGAGCATTTCGTGTCAGGCCACTCTAAATAACTTTGTTTACATCTGAACCATTTAATTATGCAGAAATATAAAAATGGTGAAATTCCCCTTCGATTGCAGTGCATCTGCCAGACATAGCTAGACATTCTGACTCTGACTGTACACTGAAAACGAAAGAGCTTGTTGTAGAAGCTTCTTTCAGTGTAGGGCAATAGTACATTGTAACAGTTAAGCTTGAGATTACCGAAAAAGTAACCCCTTAAAGAAAGTATATCACGGGAATATAAAACAGTGTTATTATTTTAAAGCACATGGATTTAACGTGCAAAGCAAGAGAGACAAGAAGAAAAGTGGCCTTTGAGAGACAATCACAGAATTATATGGTGACTCTCATAGAATAGCCCTGTCAATCAAACTAATTGTCTGCCCCTATATATCTTTCATCTCTTCGGCTACTCGTGTCCCAATGGTTTAACAGCACCTTCAAGGATGGGCTTTTCCTGTGAAGGTAATTACATAGAGCTAGATCACTGAGACTGATATCTAGCTCCTGAGACTCAATCTTTTATTTGTTTTGTTTATAAAAACAGATGGTCTATCAGTGCTTGAATCATAGATTCTCCTTTAGTTTTTCCATGACCATGTCCTTTGTGTAAAGGGCAGCTTGAACACAAATGCATGAAATTTCCATTTTAATGTCTTAAATGGAAAATATTCATGGAATCTCTTTCAGATTTCTGTTGTGGCAGTGATGCTATCAGTTTAGTGGTGTAATGGCTTCTGATATGTGTATCCTTGAACATGCTTTTAGGAGACAGAGTACATCAGAGTAAAGTGCTCATCCATTTATCAGAGAGCCCGCAAACTATAACAGAGCCTCTTGAAAAGTGCTTTTGTTCCAAAGTCAGCTTTCTTAAAGAAAAAGACTATTACAACAGACAAAGGCATGAATGCTAGGGACAGGAATTGCAATGTTCATAGTGATCATACAAATGATATTTAATGGACATTAATGGTCTCTGAAGGATATTGCCTGCATTGTCAGGAGTTCTTTACTGCCAAAAATAGGAGCTGATTCCGTTCTGCAAATTTTCGACTTTACGTGAACAGCTTTATTAAACACAAAAGCTGTTTGAGTGAAGTTTTGGTCTACACTGACTTCCAGTGGTTTAGACTGATTATAGAGTCATTCTCTTCCTGGCCTTTAAAGTTTTTTAGACCCTTGTCTAGTCCAGTTCCACTGTTGTGACTTTCTGTGGGTCTGTTTATGCACAAGTGCTCCTTTTGTGGCCACGTCTGGTTTGGAGTTGACACGGCATACTCTTAAATGGGCTTTCTCCACATGATTTGCATGCATTTGAACAGAGCTTGTTTCTGCTTTAATAAGCTACTTGTGGTGCTGGCTTTGTTGTTTCAAGGACATCCGGCTTTATCTTCCGTTACCAACACCAGCAGAGCCACTAATCACATCAGACAAGCGCGACTCACGCTTTAAAATGGACTCTTTGTGCCTCCACCAAAAGAAGAGAAGAAAAAAGAAAAGAGAAAGAGGGAAAGGACAATAAAGGGAAAAGAGCTACTTAGTTTAATTTCATTAGATCTGTTCCCTTCAAATAGCAATCTCTATCAGGATTTATTTTTCTCTGCTTTTTAAAAATGACTTAATATGCCAGGATGTTCCAATTAGCATTTAAATTATCTTTGTTTTTTACATCCATGTAATGCCATTATCATATTAGTCTGAAACCGACCATCAAATGCAATTAACATTTTTAAAAATGTATTTATCTAAGCAGCGCCCGCAGGAACCTAGTTATTGCCGCTCAGAATTATGTTAGCCGAGATTAGAGTTATTGAAGTCATTCGCCTGCAAAGGTGAGACTGGAACCCGGAGAGAAGGTTACATGCATTTGGATTAAGCTGAACGATATGTTTTGGTGTGTTATCACTGTGTAATAGCAATAAATATGTAGTGTAAAAGTAACTGGCTAGTAACCCAAGTTTATCTGTCTTCGCCTTCAAGATTTCAATACTTTGGAGCAATTTTAGGCACACAAATTACAGAGTAAAAGTAATAGTGTTAGTTTTGTTTTATGTAATTACTTATAAGATTTGTAGTATGTGTAAGTCACATACCACCCAGACAAAAGGTCCACTTGTCAAAGGAAAATAAGTAAAAAAAAAAAACATCCAAAACTCCAGAAAATTATTAGAAGATACAGAGAAAATGGGGCAAGACATGTAAAAAAAAACTTATTAGACCACCAAAATTATCACCAACACATAAACAGGACTTAAATTATAATCTTTGCGAGAATCAAACTGCACTCTTGCTTCAGATCCACAAATGTTTCTGCCTGTCCTTTCACTGTGAGAAAACAGCTAAATGTTGTGGGTCTGAAAGAGTGTTTAGCTGTCAAGAAGCTGTTGCTGAGAAAAGAAAAAGGAAAAAAAATTGCAGATTAAACAGAGAAGCTGCCTGTATTCTTACAACAATGGTTTGACCACCCCAGAGTCAGTATCACTGCATGTGCTTGGGACTACTTGGATTGTGAGAAACAGAAAATGTAACCAGCTTCTAAGACTGAATATGGAGGTGTGGAAAAATATCCTTGCAGATTTCTTTGAAAAACTGAATGTAAGTCTCCTGAAAAGCATAGAATCTGTAATAAAGGCAAAAGGTGGCCAAACTAAAAACTGAAAAAAAATTATATTTCACTGGTTCCCAATCTTGGTCCTGGAGATCTACCTCCCTGGAGAGTTCAGGTCCAACACACCTAGCAGTAACATTCAGATGCCCATGAAGGACTTCATTACCTGGATCATGTGTGCTAGATTTGGGTTCGAGCTTAACACTGCTGGGCGGTAGATCTCCAGGACCAGGATTGAGCTCCCCTGTTATATTTATTTAATGAAGCTTTTCGTTTTCTGTTAAATGTATGTTTTTTTTCAATCTGATGCTGAAAAAAATTGATATGTTGTCTTAAATGGCCATTTTGGCTGGAAATTAAATAAATGAATGGTGGTCTCTGATGTGATATCCTTCTTTTCCTGTCTGTTTTTCTATTTCTAGCCAGTTAACCATTCCCACACTAAGCCTGGTCATGTAAAAACAAGCCCTAGACGAAAGACCAAGACCAACACGAAGCAAAGCAAAGTGCCAGCGTGTGGTTACCAGAGGCCCACAGTAGCATCACAGACCCGCTCCCCCTCACCCTACACCTACCGCAGGATGTGCCAGCTGTCCGAGGAGGCTAGACAGCGCCTGAGCCACCTCCAGCTTGGGCCCTACACCTTTAAGAAAGAAACAGATCCTCAGCCTCCTTTTGTGGTGGGGAATAGCAGATGTTTTCGGACAGGCCTTTTCTGTGTTTAGATTTGCCTCACGAGTTAACTTTTGGTAGATGAATCTGATTTTCTTCCCATGGAAATCTTAACCTAGCCTCACTTTTGTACAAATCTACACACCAGCTGATACCCCTGCCTACTGACTGGCCTACATATAGTTCTCATTTTATGTTTGGCCACCTTCTTATGTGTTGCCTTAACGTTTTTGATTGGTTTTGCATTCCAACTCTGAAGAGTCCAAAGAGTTGAGCTGATAGCAAGTGATTTATACTGCAGTGTCATCACTTCTCCAGCTCATTCTGTCAGCCTCTTTCATGAGTGAAATGCAGATAGAGTACCCCCTCCTGTTTCCTTTGGAGTGTTTTCGCTAAAACAACAAGTCCTGAGGTGTAAATATCAAAGCTGTCATGCTATGAAAGGCGAGATTCAAATCCAAGTCATGTGATATCAGCATGGCATTTTCCTTTCTTGGGCCTTTGAAAAAGGGAGTAGCTTTTTCGGAGTAAATCCTGGGGCAACAATTAACCTAAATAATTAAGAGTCAAACCATGATTAACAATGCCCACTATTTTGGCAGATTAACTCTGCAAGTATATTACCACTGTCTGTTTAAAGTCAGCGCATTTGTTTGTATGAAAGCAAACAACTCGTTTCATGGGCCAGAGTCATCATATGGCTATTTAATTGCAGTAGCAGCACTTTAATTGAACTCTGAAAATAGCCCTGAAAAAGGCTCCTAAACCAAGTTGGCTGGGTGAAACAAACTCACTCTGCCTCTGAAAGTTTCCCTTCATTTTTAACCTTCTTCAAGAAGTGATTAACTTCAAAATGAAAGGCAAATTTAATTGAATAAATAATGCCCCTGTGTCAATTGAGTGTTTGGTGTCCATGTCTTCACCTGCTAAAACAGTCTACAGATTATTTGACTTTGGGGGAAAAAAAGGAATTAGCTGATTGCTTTCTCTGTTTGCAGGTCCCCTGTAGTCCAGGCGCCTCTCTGATTGAATCCCCCACGTTTCCTCCAGCTCTTCCATCTTCACCCAAGAGAAGCTCCTTCCTCCAGACGTCTGTGAATTTTGCTGCAGACGTCACAGGTTTGGAAATATTTACTCTGCTATGATTTTTTTATTATTAATTTTTAAGCACCATTTTGTTATATCTTGCATAAAATAAAATCTTTTTTGGTTCCTGAAGCCTAAAAAGGTCAGGTGGTCAAATGACTTTTACTCTGACATGCTTTTAAGAGTGGGCAGTGTGTTGCACCGTAAAGAGTATGGTTCAAGGACAAAGGTTTATATGGGTGTCCATATACAAAGACTAGTTTATGCACATTTTCAGTAGTGGTAAATAACTTCAAAATATATTTTTATTAATATCTGGCTGTGCCACCTGACATTTTCTGGATGGTAAAATTTATGGTATATAATTAACTCCTTAAAATCCCAGTGCTGGGGCATACTAGGTCTTATTATTCGGTAACTATGGGGACTTCAGTGCAAACTGGTTGAGTTATTCTTAGGTTATAGAAGTGTGCAGTAAACCTTTGGGTCACGGGCAGACCCTGGCCATTTAAGGGGTTTAAAAAAATTGCAAAACGAATGTCAGTCAATGCATTGAATAGAATCTTGCAAATACAAAAATGTACATCACATCATTTTAATGAGATTTTTTAAAATTATGATACACTTATTTGTCATTAACTCATTTGCATTTTAAATTAATAGTATTTACATATCCCAACAAGAGCAATGTTTTATATTGTTACAGTTAAAAATAAAAAAAAACAAAAGGTCTAACATTCATTGGTAACATGGAGCTCACATACGAGGTGATCTTTATCTGACCCAATCATTTGTGTTTGTGATTTGTCTTTGTGTTCTTTAGACACAGACCTATACGAGTATAACATTGTATGTTGCATACCTATAACAATACTTCCTGCTACTAGTTGACCTACAAATCACTAACTCTGAGTTGCACAGCTTACACTGTATGGCATCGTCAGGTCTATTGTCCTTATATTATCTGCAGTTCTATGTTGCAAGTTCAGTCAAAAACTTTTAGAAAATTCAAGATAATACACAATCTATTTACATTTTTCATTCCAAATCAAAACGGATAAATGTTAAAACTGTATTTGAATAACCACAAACATCTATTGTTTATCTGTTAATTAGAAGCATTCTCATCCATGTTTGAGATTTCCTCATGGCATTTTTATTTTTGATTTATCTATTTATTTACTGTGCTGCTTTTATTTCAAGATATTAAATCACTGCTCTTTCTTTAAATCCCTAGATCTCACACTCTGTGGAAGCTTCAAGGCAAAGCCTTCTAAAGTAAGTTACAGATGTTTAAGTGACAAATGTGTAGTTTTGCTAATTTTATACAGACTACTGTAACTCTTACCTCTCCTCCAGACGAAAGGTTCTTCTGTGGATGTCCATTGTTTGTCTCCAGGGGCTACATCCAGAAGTCTTTCTCACAGGAAAGTTCCTACTGACCACTCCACCCCTCTGTCCAGCAGTCACAGAGACCAGAGTCCGCTGCTGGCACGCTCCTCACTTAGAGAGAGGTGAGAGACAAGTATCAGCTAATGCTGGTGCTATTAGTGATTTAACAATACAAATAATGTAACGTCTGATTTTATGTGTAAAAATGTCTTGATTCTACAGAGCTGTAATTATATACCACACAGACTGGTTTGGCTCAGAAACAAAGGAGTAGCACGTCATGTCTGTGCAAAATAGAGATATTATGAAAAAGTGCACCTAAGCTATAAACGGTACAACAACTTGACCTGCATCATTTAAAACCTTGTATAGCTTGTCTCCATTTTCACCACTCCTGAAACTGAAATATCAACATCAACATGTCCCAAAAGCACAAATTAAACGTGTAAAATGTATACTGCATCTGACATAAAGCATTAGCTACAACAAAGTGTTTCATTTTACTTACATGAAAAACAGCAAACACTTGTAAGAGACAAAGATGTTTTGGCGATACGGTTTTAAAAAGTCTATTGACTTTTTTAAACATCTCTGACCCCCAATTTTCGATACTGCAGACATTTGGCCCACTACAAACATTACTTCAGACCTTTAAGACAAAAAGTTTGGGCACCCCTATTCTAGAGTAAGTTGTTATAGGCTGGATTTCAATTAGTTCCTAAGAAATGATGAGGGAGGCAACAAATGGAGCTAGTAGTATTTCTTCACACTATGCTGTTTAAAAATTATTTGCAAAACACGTTAGTAGATGACATGAAGTAAGCCACGGTTTAGCAGTGAAGCTATGCTGGGCTAGATCCCCATTAACATTAGCCCCAAAACAGTCTGGTTTAATAAACAAACCTGCAAAAGAAAGAGAGGAAATGGATCCGGCCATCCACACTGGAAAGCCTTTTAGAAATGAGATATTTGCGTGCTGGTTTGTCCTTTTTTCGATGGCAATCAGTTCTGTCTCCACCTCCCAAATTCATGTGCAGTCGACTTAACAGGAACAAACCAGACAGTCCAGTGGGTCGTCACAGAGTTCTAGATTCCTCTGGATTTCTTGAATTTTTATTTCTTTTCTCAAAGCATGATGCTATCCTGACAGTCTCTAGAGCTCTAGCCTTAAATTGTTTAAAGTGATTGATTGCTATTGAAAACAGCTTTATACACTGCACTGAGGACTTGACTATTTGCGTATTTGCTAGTTTGTTCACTGATTTGTTCTGATCTTATGTTTGTTTTTCCATTAGACATAATCAATAATTGTTGTTTCATTGCTTTTAACTTAACAATAAGTTATATTGTTATAACAATAGCATACTTTCAGCTTTTATTTTTTATGTATTAAGTATCTGTCAGGAAATGGTACTTCATATTGGTTAATCCACATTAGCCTTCAACAGGAAAAAGTTAATTAAGGCTTTCATTAATATCTCCAACAAACATCGACAAAGAAGATCATATCTGAAGCTATAGTCAGGTGGTATTTTCAAACCTTTCTTGAAATCTATATTTAGTTTTTTTTTCCCCTGTTCAGCGTACATACAGATAGCAAATAAACCGAACAGTGTACCTTATGGCGTGTCCCCTATGAATTTCCAATTATGTGATATTGACTAAATGTGAAGCTCATAAGAGCAAAGCCAAATAAAACAGAGGCCTGCTCTCAATCTATATTTTGATCTCAGACGACGTGAGATGAATCAAGTCCCCCTACCTTCAAATGACGAAATCTGATGTCCGGTCGTGTTTGTTCATTACTTAAAAGAAAAAGACAAAAATCCCTGAGAAAACAAGGGAAAGGGTATTGATTGTGTTTCACCAAGATCTAATGCATCTGACCCGACGCACAGTTTAATAAATTCTGAGAGACCCTTGTCATTGATCTGAACAACAGCCTGCTAAACCGGCAAATGTTTGTTTGTTTGCCTGTCTCTCCACCTCCTTTTTTCCCCCGTTCTCCCGCAGGGGCAGGAGCAAACATTTAAAATCAATAGACAATTTTAAACCAAAGAGTAAATTGGAGAGTAAATAGTAGGAAATGTATGATACTTTTGTCTGGATTGAAAGCATGACCGGAGTCAGAGGGCTGCAGATTAAGGCTGGCTTGGTAGATTCAGACAATAAGAGATCAGGCACGTCTTTTGGAAGTCTTTGATGGGAAGAGAAATGATGGCTTGTGAAGTTCAGTCTGTCCTCTCTGCACTTGTTGGATTCTCATGTGCTAATCTTTTGGCCCAGCTAACCGTCTGAAGCACAGCTCGCGTTAGGTCCATTAAAGATAAAAAGCACCGAGTTCTATGACCTCTCATAAAAATTTGATTTTTTTTTCCTTAAAAAATAATGGAAGCTTAACTGCTAGTCTCAAAGCTACCTCATAAAACTGTCCTTCTCTGTCCATGTCTTAAGACAGTTGTTGCGAAACATTTTGGGATTTCATTTAGTAGTAATGCCAAATGAATTCTGTTATCTGTCTACATTTCAATACTGGACTTCCAGAGATCTTAGAAGCCATGTCGATTACGAATCTAACTATATATTTTCCCTTTTTGCATCAATTCAGCTGTTTAAATACTTGTGTTGGCAGTGTTAGCTGTACAACATTATCTTTGGACATTATTTATTGACAAGGGCTGGGATTTACATTTGTGCACAGATAATCATGAAGTAACATCGCATACTTGATGGAACTTGAAAGAAACTTGTGTTATCTGTATTCTCAACTTTCATGTCTCACTCCAAAGGACACAGCACAGACTAGTGTTCAAACATGGTATTACATTATGGTAATGCAAGAGCTGTCAGAATTGAACCTGATGTCATGTTCATAGCTCTACCTTTAGAAGAAGTACTGTTTTAGTACACTTGAAATTTAATACAAACAAATAATAGAAATTTCTGCAGACATGGTTCCAGATAAATGTCCAGCCCCCTTTATTAATGAAGGGTCAAAGTACTAAAAACGCAGATCCTAATTTTTTCTGTCCAGGTTTCACAGCCCCACCAGCCCCTCTCAGTGGGAGCAGATTCACAGTCGAGTTCAGAGGATTTTGAGCACTCATGCCACTCGAAAGCTGTCATTTGTAAGTAACAGCCAATCACTCTTTCCTCTAGTTAGGCTGTTACATGCTGACATTTACATTTATGTCCAGTACCAGTCACAGCAGAATGTTCTTCATTCCTTTGTTTTATTAACAAATTAATATTCTGTTTTGCTTTCTTTGTCAAAATAAAGAATTAAAAGAATGATGTATTTACACAGCAATTCATTCTATCAATGACTGCAATGTAGGAATAATAATAAATTGATAAAAACATATAAATGATCCAACGTAACATACTTCCTAGCGAATGAACATGGTAATCACTTTACACACTTATTCATGCATTTTCGTCATCTTTTATACCCTCTTGAATCCCTTGTCTTATGGAGTTCCAGCTCGAGAACTATTGAAACATTTTCCGTTAAAAAGCATCACCTCCCACATTTCAGTAGCTGGAACACGGTGGTGGCAAAACCATAGCAAAAGCGCGCTAATTACTCTAAAACCCCTCAAAATCCTCCCTGAAATGAACAGAGCGAGCGTGTGTGTGTTTTCAGTGGGAGGGAGGACTGCTGGTGGAAAGCTGTCTCTACAGGCTCATCTTTTCTGATACCAAACAGAAAAATGGAAGGTGCCAGTGCGGCACAGCTGCCTGCCAAGCAAAGCAGGGAAACGTGTAATCCGCTCCAAACTAAAAAGAGGAAATATGCAGGATTTTCTTTAAGAGTATTAATCAAGCTGCTGAAAGGATCTACTTTTAAAGACTGTTTTACCCAGCCTCCTTGTGTAATAGTGAAATACAAATCTACTCCCTAATCTGTGTTTTAGATTCTCAGCAGTCACCAGACTTCTCATAATGCATTTTATCATGAATAAACGTAGACAGCTGATAAGGTTAGTAAAGTTGAAATTTATTGTGGGGAGAAAACAACAGAGTTTGTAGTAAATCCCGCTTATATCTGTTTCTGCAGGACGAGCAGAGTGAGGAAGGAGAATCCGAGTCATGTTCCTGCCATGACTCACTATGCGACAGCCAAATACAACCTGACAGGTAAAGATGCAGAATTTCATGAAACAGTGTGGTTTACTATACTATTTTGTTCATACTGCACTGTGTAAAAGTCAGAGACCACCCTTTAATTTTATTTAAGTTTCAGTCAAAATGCATATTAAGTACAAGGTCTACAAGTTATTCTTCTTTCAGCATCAGGAAAAAGCCAATAAGTATTTAACATAAAATTACACTAGAGCCTTAACAACTAAATATAACAGCATTTTTTCAGTATTTAGTGTGTCCACCCTTTACCTTTATAGCAGCTTCTTTTCCTTTTGGGGGCCTTACTGTCAGTTTTTCAAAGAAAATTTTTGAATATCTTCTGTAGGGAAGTTTTTCCACACCTCCAAAGTTCAGTCTTAAAAGTTGGTTGCATTTTCTGCTTCTCACAATCCAAGTAACACATTCAGTGGTGTTGAGGTCTGGACTCTGGGATGGCCTGCCCATTGTTCTGAGAACATCAGCAGCTTCTTTGCTTAATTTGCAAATTTTCTTTTCTCAGTAAGGGCTTCTTGACAGCTACACATCCTTTCAGACTCATAGTGTTAAATTGTCTTCTCACAGTGGAAGGATGGACAGAAACACCTGTGGATTTTTTCAGATCTGAAGCGGAAGTGGAGCTTAATTTTCTCCTCTCTCTTAATAATTAAAGCTTTAAATACTGTTGATCTGATGGTGACAGTTTTGGTGGTCTACCAGGTCTTGCAAGGTTGTTAGGGGTCTCATTTTCTCTGTATCCTTTAATCATTCAGCTCCAGTTTTGGAAATTCCTGTTTCTCACTTATTTTCCTTTGACTTTCCCCTTCCTTAAGCAAATGAATTATCATATCATTATTATATCTGTTCTATCAGGAATATCTCCCAAAATCTGAATAACTTGTACTTAATGGCCACTTTGACTGGAAATTAAATGAAGGATGGTCTGAATGTAAAGTTAAAAACTAGTTCACTAGATTTATATTTTAAAATGTTAGTTCATCTGAGTCTGTTCTGTTGTTGTCTACTCAGTTCCTTCTTGTAAGATTAAACATAAAAGAGACTTATGCTAACTTATGTATATTCTGACTCAAGGGATGTATTAAAGCCCAAAGCATGTAAATGGGCAAAGGAGGTAAAAGCACATTTTAGTGCTTTGATTTTATTTCAAACTGATTACATAAAAGAAACTTGCCTGGTTTCTCATTTTGCTCCAAATTGTTAATTACAAAGTAGTTAAAAAAATAGAAAATAATAGAAAGTTAAAGACCTGCACAAAATATTACCTGAAACTGTGTTTTGCTACCAAGCTTAAAATAGGTTGCTCCTCCAGACTAAATCACCAAAATCGAAAACATAATTAATCAGATGTCAGGAGCTCCAGGGATTTATGGTTGATATTGGTCTCACTGGCATTATCATAGTGAGGTCTATGCATACACAATTGAAAACGACTGCTTTGAATTGTGTTTTCAAGGATGCCAAATACATTTGTGTGACATCATAGACAGATTATAGAAAAGTTTTGCATATTGTCATGACTTAAATTGCTTTAGAATAAAGGACTAGAGGAGAACTGAACACATCTAGTACTGTAAACACCCTTCATTTTTTAATTTTCAATCAAGACAGCCATTAAGTACAAGTTATTCTTTTTTCAGGGTATTAGATGTAATCATTAAACAGCCATCAATTAATTTGCATAAGAAAAGGAGAAAGTCAAAGGAAAATAAATGGAAAACCAGGAGTTTCAAAAACTGGAGATCAAAAAAGCATTAAAAGATGCAAACAAAATGGGACCCATAATAACCATGCAAGATCTGGCAGACCATCAAAACTCACCAGATAAACAGTGCTTAAAGCTTTCATGTTTGAGAAGAAAATCAAACTCCACTCTTGCTTCAGATCTGGAAAAAATCCACAGGTGTTTCTGTCCATCCTTCTACTGTAAAAAGATAGCTCTGTGGGTCTGAAAGGATGTGTAGCTGTCAAGAAGCCCTTACTGAGAAAAGGAAATAGACAAAAAAGAAGAAAAATTCCAAATCAAAGAAGCTGCTGGTGTTCTCAGAACAATGGACTGACCACCCCAGACCTCAGTATCACTGAATGTGTTTGGAATTATTTGGATCTGAATCGAGACAAAAGAAAAAGCAAGGTGTGGGCAAGTATCCCTGCAAATTTGTTTAAAAAAACTGAAAGCAAGTCTCCCAAAAGAATGGAAACTGTAATAAAGGTAAAGAGTGGACTGATATTCTAATTAGTTGTTCAGGCTTCTTTGTAATGTATTTAATAGAAAATGTTTTTCCTTTTTTTTGGAGGTTGAAAAAAAATGAACTTGTACTTCCAGTGGGCAACTTAAATAGACAAACAGTGGTCTCTGTCTTTTGCATTCGCACATTGAATATATTGACTATATTGCAGATTGTGTTCCACAGTTTTCTTAGCAGAGATAGCAGGGATTAATTCTCTTTTTAGGACATACAGTAGGAGCAATATAAGTGAAACTGACAGTGAGATTTATGACAGGGAGGTTTCACAGTGACCCTGTCCACATATTTCGGGCAGCTCAGTGGGTTGGGAACAAAAAGCCGAAGGTCCTGGAGTAGCCTAGTTAGTCTTGTCCAAATCTTAAGAACCTTATAAATGTACAGATATCATTGTCTAAATGGGGATACAGTGCTAAATGAAATCTTTGTTTATGCAGGTTACAAAAAGTTTTCCGTCAGATGAATGGAAGGAATATCCCCATTATTGCATATGACACTAACCCAGAATGTGAAAAAGCTGAACGGTGCGAATGCTTTTTATAGGCACTGTGAATTACAAGTGTTAAAAGAACTCCAACTGCTGAAACAAGAGGCCTGTTGCACCTTATCATACAGAATTCACACTCATGAGTGTGAAATTTATCACCAGCAATAAAAAATGTCACGTGGCAGAACTCCTTTAGAGGATTTGTCGCTGCATAATAAATCGCAAGTCCCAACATTAGAAGCCAAACCAAAGTTGCACAAATTGACGAATTATTGCCTCTTAAGAGGACAAAGATAAGTGCAGTAACGGTAGTGTAGTTTTATTAGTTTGTACTGATCCAGCTGGGTGGGGGTGGACTTAAGTAAGCTGCCTGGCTAAGGAGATAAAACTAACTTGGCTTTTGACCAGTAAATAAATGGTTTTAATAAGTACATCTTCCTGCATGCTTCTGTCCTCAGTCTCAAAAAAGAAAAGTGATTCTGATATAATTTAACATAAAACATTACAAACTCACTATAAGATATTCAAAGTGAATCGTCATGCCTTAAAGCCCACGTGTCAAACACAACGTCAGGCCCGTGGCACAATCCTATTCAGCCAGCAAAATTATTTAAATTTTCTATTAATATTAGCCCATTTCACCATGAGCTGCACTACAGTTCCCAGCATGCACTGCAACGAAACGTGCGCTCCCATCCTCTTCCCAACAAGGATTTATGGAACAGCACCAAAAAACCCCCAAAAAGATGCCAGGTGTTTAGTCTAAGCGAATGGGCAGTGTTAAAAACCTACTGTACACTGGGGACACTTAAGGGATTTAAAGTTATGTACAGCTAATGTAGTCTATATAAAACAATTTGTTTTTATGTAAAAAGATTTTTGAATCATTTAAGTATTCAGTGCCTGTTTTTTTTTTTGCCAGTGTAGTTTTGGCGCAGTTTGAATAAACAACTTTTAGTGGCTGAGTTTGACACCTATGCCTGAAAGAGAAAAAAATCAGCATAGGCAAAACACACTGAAAAAAATGTTTAAACAGTACAGGTACGGGTCAGCGATTGTGGCAAAAATACCATAGTATGACCATCTTCACAGTGCACATCACAATATTTTAACACAGAAACTATGCACTAGTAAATCCAAACAAGCAGGACTAATTATGCTCTTTTTAAATGAATCATGCTGTTGGTTAGTGTTCTTTAAATACAGATGCCATCCATGATATGCTCAGACAAGCATATTGTTTATCAAGATATCTATAAAATATCAGATTGCCCACTTCTAAATACAGGTAAACTCGCATTATCTGAGAAAACCGTCAATACATTGGAAAAATGTATCAGCATTGTTGGGGGTTGTTTGGGCCAGCAGACACTATAATGACACTAAACACAATAAATGGCATCATCCTTCACATAATCTAAGACCACTTTACTTATCTAAGACCATTTAACTTATCTAAAGTTAAACAACTGAAATAAGGTTAGAGCTTCATCTTTGCAGTAGAAGAGAACAATCACTGTTAACTGTTGAATCAAATTCACTGTGTAACCCTTGTTTTCCCATGCTGCAGGGTTATTCCTGGAGAGCCATCTGTTCATTTAGATAACGGTACATTCTGGACCAACAAAGCAGCCAAATACACCGGGAGGTCCCACAGAGCAGTGTTTGAGGACAGCCTTGGTAAAATCTATAAGAACCTGTACAGAAAAGCATCAAGTCCTGGTCACATTGATTCATAAGGAATCTGGACATCAATATTTGATTTTAACATAACCCAACTCCTTATTTCTACACCTTAGCAAACTGCTTCCTGCAGCCATAAACAGTAACAGTCTTTGCTACATCACTGATGAAATAATCAAGCCACTTTAGCTAAATCTGATTGGGTCAGTGCTGTTTCTAAATTGAGGAAAAGATGCAGATACACAGCAGCAGCTTGGTTTATTGATTTATTGGCGATCCAGTCAGTTACAAATTTGTGTGCATTCTTACAAAATGTGAAATCTTCTGTCATGCTCCGTCATTCTCCCAGACTGGTGGCAGAGAAAAGCTTCTTCAGTCAGGGAAAAAGACATGAAGGCACTAAAAAGGATCAATAATGTTCAACTTTTCTTTTCCTTACTGTTTTACAGTCTCACTTGATTTTTTAAGTTTACTGTGTTATCACCCATTAATTTAAAAATCTGTTGAAAAATAAATGTACAATTTTTATAAAGCTCACAAGAGATGCAACATTTTGGATATTTACATGACCGTGTTGGAACGCTACTGAAGGTGTAAAAGGATCATCTTACATTATTTCTTTTTATGAAATTTATGCTTCTTTTTATTTATCTTGCCAGCTGCATCTGCTGCTTTTTCTGCCATGATCTCATGATATTTCCTCTTGTTAAAGCTGGAAATGGGAAACAGGACAGAAGTGTTACTCCACAAAAACAAATCAAAAACAAAAGAACATTACATGGTAGTTAAACATAAAAGACTATATAAAGTGTATTTAATCAAAAATGCCATCAGTTAGAGTTCTATATGAAAGCTAGTAGCCTCAGTTTAACTAAAGCTTAAAACAGCATTATGTTTAAAACATAGTAACAAATACAATTTACCTTCTGAACTCTGCATCAGCAAGCAACTCCTCTACAATAGTCCTCTTCCTCTGTTTTTTAGGGATTCGAGAATGGTAGAAGTCTGCTGGGTTATCGACCACTGTGCCAACCTGCAGAACAGCAAATACTCATTAAAGGCAACTGGTGTAATGCAATCGAATACAAAGTACAACCGATAAGTCTAATGTATTTTGATAAAAGACTCACGTACTAAGAAAAAAACAATTATCTTAATATTTTATTAGTTTAAGGGAAAAAAGCACTGAGTGAGTCCTCACCTGGAAGTATTTGGGGAATCCCTCTCTGTCATTCTTCTTGTAGAAGCGCTTTGGGTCCATTGCTGAACGCATCTTCAGTGCCTTGAGGTCATTTTTCAGGTCCTCTGTTAATTCAGGGGCCCTCATGTTGAACCAGCCGTCCCCTGTCGTCTTAGCCTTCTCCTCCTAATCATGATATTTTTTAAATATATTTTAAGTTTTAAAAATCCTTTTAAATAATGATGTTATACTTTACTATGATATAAAGTGAATTCATTTACACAAATGCCACGTCATGTATATAGAACTTGTTCCCATAGGTTAAACTACCCAGTGCTCACCTTGCGCTTCAGTTTAGCAGCATGTTTTGATTCTTTGTATGGTGGCACAGCATCTTTCTTTTCAAAGTCAGCAACAATCACACTGTTCTTCAGTAACTGCAAAAGCAAAATGAGGAGATTTAGATTCATACAAATACAAGTATAAATGAAATGAAACATAGCTAAAAGTTCCATTTGCAAGCAATGGAACTGAGTTTACTGAACTCCTGTATGATCACAATACATTTCTCAAATTTCTTTGCTGTGGTAAGCTGACTGAGAAAAAAGTAATGTCAAGTAAACACAAATAGCTTCCTGAAAATTATTTTTCCCCTCATTTTCTCTGGTTAAAAGAAACCCCTACAGTAGGTAGGTTGGAGGTAAGCCCTTCCACCACCACAAAGCAAAACTACCAATGTAGCAGCACATCTCCTTTAAATCATGTGTAGCTTTGCACCATTTTATTTTTTTTTCTACCATCAACACTGCATTCCCGAGCAGTTCAACTCTGCAACAAGGTTTTAGATACCTAACAGGCTGATTATTAAGGATGCATCATAATATCAGAATTATATGGATATTAGCACTTATTCGATTGATAAATATTTCAGCAATTATCAGCACTGAACAGATGTTTAGATATGACCATATACATTTGCATATATATTTGCTCTGCAAGAGCAAAATGTTTAGGTGATGTTGGCCTACAGTTCTAAAAGTTTCAATAGTTTAAGTGTATTTATAAAGTGTTTATATATGTTTGTATCAACATACAAGAAATATGTGCAGGAAGATATTGGATATTAGCCCACAATTCCCATGATGGTGCATCCCTGGCTAATGTTGCATGCTTACGGTTGAGCATGCCTGGATAACCCCAAATGTGAACAGCACAGCTGGGACTCGACCCTAAATCCTAGCTCTAAGGCATATCTAGAACACTTTAATCCTGTAGCCCTTGGGGAACAGCACAGTAGCAAGTTGTTCAAAATCCATTCAACACTCCAAATCAATTAAAGTTAATTACCTCGTCTTGATTCTTCTGGTCCTTTAGTTTTTTCAAGTTGTTGGAGACAGGCTTTGATTTGCTGCCATCAAAACTGATATACAATCCACCAAGCTCCTTCATTTTCAGACCTGGATCAATGGAACTGGATAATTCCATCCTAAAACAGAGAGGGGCAGCGATAAAGAAGATTATCTGTCAACAAAAATGCAAGAAAAGTATTTGGGAAAAATGGTAAAGTAAAATTCTTACAATGCTGGCCTCCTGGTAGTGAAGAGTGTTTTTGAGTCTTCGTCATCTTCATCATCTGCTTCCTCGTCAATAAAGTCCTCTTCATCCTCCACATCTTTAGAATCATGAAGGTGGTCGTCCTCTTCATGGCGTGTGGTATCGATGTAGTACTTCTCATTAGGTTGAAGTCCAGGACGAGCATCAATAACAAACAGGTTACTGCTGCCTGGCTGGACCTCATCAGAGCGCACTGCATCATCTTCACTCTCCAGGTCCCCAGCATCCTCCTTGCAGCCCTCATCTGACAGTCCTTCACTGTCACTCTCTTCATCCTCACTGCTGTCCAGCAAACTCAGCACTCTTTTTTCAGGCTTAGTCTGCAGAACACTTGTTTTGTGCCCTTGGGCTTTTGAGCTACAGGAAGGTCCTTCTTGCTCTGTCTCTGCAGCGCTCCCATCTTCTGCGTTATTCTGTAGCTCAGATTCATGATGAATGGCATACATATCTGTGTGTTGCTCCACCTCCCTGTCTTCAACTTTTTGACCTGCCAGGTCACTGTATGTCACTGTTATTGTTTGGCTAGCAGAAACCTGAGGAACATCTAGGACATCTGCTGCTTCAGACATATCAATCCCTGCAATAACCTTTACACTCTTCTCAGCTAGCTTGGAAGGTTTCTGGTCTACTACAGCAGCATTATCATCAGCCACCAACTCTGTCTTCTCCTCCACTGCCTCATCTTTCTCTTCAGATCCAACAACCACCATTACATTCTTTTCAGTTTGCGCTGGAGCCAAACTTCTCTGGTCTTCAGTATCATGATGACTAGCATCAACATCTATGTTTTGCTCCACCTCCATGTCTTGTTCATCTTCAACGTCTTGACCTGACAGGTCAGTGTATGCTACTGTTAGGCTATCAGAAACCTTTTGAGGAACATCTAGGACCATTGCTGCTTCAGACTCAACCCCTTCCCTAACCTTTATATTCTTCTTAACTAGCTCGAAGCGTTTCTGGTTTAATACAGCAGCATTATCTTCAGCCACCAAGTCTGTCTTCTCCTCCACTGCCTCATGTTTATCTTCAGATCTTACAACCACCATCACACTCTTTTCAGTTCGTGCTGGATAAGACCTCTTCTGGTCTTTAGTATCATGTTGCTCCACCAGGATGGGCTGATCCTCTTCAGTCACAGTGACACCCTTTCCAGGCTTCATCACTAAAACACCTGTCTGGTCACCTAAGCCATGGACCTCTAGCACAGACTCAGCCTCATTTTCCATGACAGGCTCTGAAATCTTCTTGCACTCCTCTAAGATTTTAACATCCTTCTCAGTAGGTGTTTGTTCTGTGGTGCTGTGTTTCTCCTCCACATGCTCAGTATTTTCAGATACAGTAACATCATTAACCAAACTGGTTTCTTGTCTGCAATCAGAGTCGACCATCTTTGCTTCTGTTATTGAACTGCTGATAATATCCTCATCAAGAGTCAGAGTAAGGTTCTCCAAAATAGAACATTCTTGGCAATCTACACTAATAACTGTTCTACTGGTCTCTTCCTCATCCATCTCCTCGATGTCCTCCCTGTCAGAAACAGTACCCATTGGGGTTTCTGTCTGGTCTTTTTCAAGTTCACTGTCCTTACTGTCTAATTTTTCACTCTCGGAGACCACTGAAGTTGCATTAGACGCATCATGTGTGACTGTCGCTTTCCATCTTGTCCTAGAAACAGGCACAGCGCGGTTGCTGCTAGCTGAACCAGTTCGGCTACTGCAAGGGGTGAGTCTAACCTTAAGAGAGGAAGGACTATCCACAGTACTGTAGTTAGTCGCTAGAGATTCTGAATCTGAATCGACTACAATAACACCACCCATTTTCCTGGGACTTGTGCTAGGGCCAGAGTGACATCCCTCAGAGTCATAATCTTGGTTTTCATCAGCAGACTTCACTTTGCTTTTGCCTCTTCTTGTTCTAGTGGGTGCAGAAGAAGCTAAAGCCTTGGTTGGTTCACTTTCCTCCAAGTGAATGGGAATTGGCTCAGTGGGTTTTGTTCTACGGTTGCGCATGGACCTGCGGACAGTGGAACCATGAGGGCCGGACACTGCAGAGGAGCATGAATCAGCTTCAGAGGGATCCTCTCCTCCAGGGGAAACAGCAGTCCTCCTGTGGCTCCTGGTGATCCTCCGGGAATCTATAACTTTGGACAGGGATGCTATAGAACTGCATGACTCTGCCTCAGAATGATCATCCTTGCAGGAGGTGGACTCTGCTGGGACTACGCAAGGCTTCTTCTGGCTTCTCATACTTCTACGTGGCTTGCTGGCAGGTGGTGAAGAACAAGACTCACCTTCGGATGCCTCCTGTTGTGCTGCAGCTGTAGGTCTCTGTCTGATCGGTGCTCTCCTTCTGCCTCTTGTAGTTGACTGCATCAGGACGCCAGATGCCACGGAACAGCAGGATTCTGACTCAGAAACATCAGCTTCATGGGTAGAGTCTGGCTGGTTTGCATCTGTGAGATGACGTTTGGACCTTCTGGTCTCTCTTTTAGATAGGTTCGGTGGTTCAGAAGGAGCTGTGTTCTGCTCTTCTGCATCATTCTGCTGGGAGTCGCTGGTCTGTTCACTCTGGGACTGGTTCGTCACAATCACTCTACGCCTTGTTCTCCTAACCGAAGTAGAAGGCTCCTGTTAAACATATTTTTAAAAGTTAGATAAAAGCAATGAAAATGGCAAACGACAAAAGTGATCACTGTTTAAAGTAAAGCTCAAGCAATATGCATAGCTCTTATTAATACTAAGAAATATAGCTGACTACCAGAGAAAACTAAATGTAAACATGGCTCACCAATCTTTATCAAATCTCTCCAACACTATTGTCATGAAACTGACACAAAGAGCTACATGAACCCATTTTTTATAAATCCCTTGGGGTCTGCTGTGGAGCCCACTATGCCAGTAACAAACTGGATGAGTAAGTAAAGTTTTGAGCACAACCAGTAGAATAAATAACTATAATGATCATCGTCTGGGCAGTTAGCCATTCCCTCAACATTCATGAACCATATATGAAGATGACGTCATATGAAAAGCAGAGCAGTAAAACAGAAGCGGGGCAATTCAGGTCATCCAGTGCGGTTTAGTCATCTAGTTTGAGAGCTAGGCCATTCCTGAAAAGTTATATAACTCAAAGAAGAAATTTTTTAACTACGTCCATTCCAGTCCTCATGCACAGGTGTCTCTGCACTAGGCAAAGGTAGGCAGCCACCTAGGGCCTCCAAGAAAATACAAACTAGATACTGTATTTTCAGTACATTTTATGCAGCCCCACCCCTCGGTCATGGTTATAATGGACTGTTTTATGTTACATGATGACACAACTGTGTAAACACAGACTAATATGAACCAGGCAATTAACCAATAATATATAACATGAAAGGAGGACGGTTTTTTGAGTGATGAGTGGGAAAATCAAATAAAGTTATGCAAGTGCAGCAGAGAAACGCAGAAGAGTCAGGAAGGCTAAAGGTTTGTTGCTTAACTCCCAGAGCTAACTTACTGTCGTCCCCATTTAACTACTTCTAGCAGCAAAACAACGGCTAGAAGTAGTTAAATAATCTTATAACGTTCTTACGACTGCCTCAAAATAAGGAGTGTTAACTATGTATGTAACATATGTATGTATTAGCATTAAGACGGATGCGCCATTCGGTAGAACAGAGTCTTAACTAATTTAAAACGTTCACCCAGGAGGCCCCGTCTTTCCTGTTTTCTGCCTACAGCACCAGAATCGGTAAATCTGCTCCTGCTCTCGTGTCTGGAAAGTAAGACGAGCGCATGACCAGCTCCCAAACTTTGCTAAACCTAACAATTGCTTAATGTAACACAAACCGCGAAAACAGCTAAGAACAACTGAAGTGCCATTTCGCATGTGTTTCTGTTTAAAATACCTGCCATCATAAATCTGCATTTTACACTCCATTACAACAGATTCACGTTTCTCGGCTAGCAAACCAGCTAGCCTATTGCTTCCCATCTCGGCTCGACTGGCCTATAACCCGGACACACTTTGTCAGTGGTTAAATTACTGGTTACTGGTTAAATAAAACTATCACCGATCACTTGGAGCTTTTAATAATAACCGCTTACCGTTACTAAGTCTGTATTTTTTACTGGGGAGCCAACGCGTGTTCCTCTCCTGGTGGCCACCATCTTGACGTTGAGCATGCGCACTCACTCTCGACTAATGGACACGCAGAAGCATCGATTCAGTTGGGCGGCGATAAACGACGGCATGGAGTGTAACTGAAGCTCATTCAGGTCCTGAAAGAGCAGGATAGCGCTCTTCAGGGATTTCTCTGTCCAAACACTCAGGACAAAATAAAAAATGTAACTATCGCTAACATACCTGCTCGCCTCTTCTGAAGATAGCTGCAGACTGATGGTGGAAGTCAATTTTGAAAGACTACAAATGTGTTTGAGCGGCTATTTGGAGTGGATTGATTTGTTTTGCTGGCTGGCTTATTGTTTTCATAGTTAAAGGGGAATTACACGAGTTTTTCAAAATAGTTCAGCTGTCGAGATGTTGAAGTCAGAGTGGTTTAATTTGAAATGCTTTATTATAGAGAAACGAACTGATTTGGATTTCTTCACAGTGGTGGTGGTAGAAGTTGCAATGTTTATATATTTACAGTGCAAATTTAATGATTTTATCCCAAACCACCAGTGAACCTACAAAAGTCTTCTGAGTATTTGAATTAAACAATGATGATGGTTAAATAGAGGTAAATCTGGAAAAAGACTTTTATTGACTCTTTTCTCTCTCCACCATGAGTGTTTTAAAAAAATGCCAAAATATTGTTGCAAAGCTGTCATAAAACATAGCATACATAAACATTTCTTGTGATAACTTCTGTGAGGGAGCTTTTACAATGAACTTCAGACGTCTAGTTCCTATCAGAACTGCTGTGAACATATCTGACGCGTCAAGTGTCTCTACCACAGAGCATTTCATACCAAACTTTCATACCATGACTTTGTTTTCAGTGATTGACCTATGCAGAGGTTTTGAAAAATCGGTGGATTTCGCCTTCAAAGGAGCAGTGTGTAAGAAACAGTCTGTTCACGCCACGATCATCTTTGCAACGCCGTTGGGCAGTTAGGTTATTGCAAGCCATAATAGATCAGACTCCTATCTGATTGAAAGGGGAACAACCTTAATATTTAAAGGCGACGGTCAAATTACCGTTTCGACAACATATTTGAAATCACTGATAAAATCTGACAAAAATCTCATAAATAGTCTGTAATGTTTGGCTCAATAACGCACGGGTTGTTGTGGCTACTGCGCTTGCGCAGAACTCCACAAAGAGGGGGGGGGCTTTCCCCGTTCGCGGCGTAACTAATAAGCTGATTAGCTCGTTTTCTTGAAGGGCGGGACTTACCAGAGAACTTTTGGAGAGAATTACCAGAGCCGGTTTATGAGGAGCCTGGCCACTTACTATTTCCCCCGTTATATCGAAAACAGGACCACAAAACAGCAGAGGGCGACCGCGAGCGAGTCCGCAATGAATGGGAGTAAATGGAGCTCAAAAACGAAAAGTTAAAATAGCGCTTATTGGTTGACGAACGAGCAGCTCATTGGCTGTTCGCGCTCACAGACGTCATGGACGAACATGAGGCGCCGTTTTAAACTTCTATAACTCGAGTTTAAAAGCTCTTAACAATAAAACAGCGGTGTTAAAATGTTTTATGCTATTCAGTGTTCATGAAATAAATGTATTCTTTTACATTTAAAAGAAGTTTGAGCATTTAAAACTATGATTTTGCTCAAATGCGCAATCTTAACTCATTTATTTTGCTCTGGAGCGCCCTCTAGCGTTTGAGAAACCCGGAAGACATTACGTAGCGGTATAAACCGGCTCTGGTGGTAATTCTCCTCTCTACAGGTTCTCTGGCCAGGCTCAATTTGTCCTACTAAGCATGCACACATCACTACTCTAGTGTAGTATAATATGGTATTGAGTTGTTTGCAATCTGCAACCTCACCGCTAGATGCCACTAAATATTGCACCATTATCTGCTATATAACGCATGCTGGGTATTATAGGGAGAAAACACAGAAATGATAAAAAAAAATCATTCATTTTGGCAAAATGATGAGGCAGAGGTGTGTAATAATGTACTGCATAATACTGCCTAAGATAACAAACAACATTAAATGCTAGGTTCAGGCCAGTTCTGTTTATTTCTGCATTTTGTCTGTGTTGAGAATGCACAATGCATTAGGTCTCCAAGCAAAAAGTGCAGTTATGAAAAGGTGCTCAAGTATACAACAGAATACATTGTGTATGCAGTAGCCGATATCTTGCCAAAATGCACAATGCATTGTGACTTTGACCAAAAAGTGTGGTAAGAATCCTTGGTAAGTGGTTTGTTTTCATTTGCTGTGTTCAATATTCCTTAATGTTTTGCTGAAACACAAGGCAACACAAATAGAAAGCATCAAAAGCCATCTTTGAATTTTAGATTTATAAACCCAGTTAAAAACATATTACAACTTACATGGGCACATTCAAAAACAGTAATTACAGGTACAGTACTGAGAGATCTTCATTGTGGACCCAAATATAAATTGTCATTGTGATGAATAAATAAACACACGTAAAAATATATATTTTCAGACAATCAACTTGTTATCAGAAAAAAAAAACAATCTTCACTTTGTTTCAAGTGTGGAATTTTCCAGTGTTTTATATACAATAAACACATGCTGTATCATGCCATGCATGCGTACAGTGTGCCAATAGTTATTCCATAGTTCTCTATTAAATATCTGCAATATCTTACTTAAGTAAAACATTTAGACAGGGCTGCAATATCTGAATCTCAAAAACTGTGAATGACAAGTAGCCACATATCTGTGTACATGTTTTAAGGGTAGCAGTACTTAAAATAAATGACACAAAACACCAGCAGGGTTGAAACACTGGCATTCTAAACATCAAACAGAGAAAAAGACAAAAAATGCTAAGCAATAACTACCTAACCATCTGTAAAATCCATTTTGGTAAACTTTTGGGAATTATTAATTTCTACAAGTTATCTAGCCTCATCAAAGCTAACTTTCATTAAATTCTGCGCTTCCAGTAACACACTTCTGTCACTCATTAAAAACTTAACGTATGGTTCCATGTTCCTTAATGAGGAAAAAACCTTTTCTAAAATGACTTTTTAAATCTCCATAGTATCTGTTTAGCATTGACAAATGCAAGTTAAGGAATTACTAACAAAAGGAGGCACTTGAACAGACTTGAGCATGGTATGGTACATTAACCCTGTTAGACACTGGTTATCTACATTATGTAAATTCATAAACATACCCCCTGCAATGGAGTAGGATACAAAGGTTGGATATAGACCCAGACCCTGTTAAAGCGTTAAAGCGCTTTGAAAAAAGATTTCACAATATAGCTGGAGTCAGCTGAAGTTCAATTTCCACCTTCCCACCATTCAGGACAAAAATTAAAATCTGAATCATACATTTCATTAAAGAACTTTATGGAGCAAGCTAAAATCTATTTTTGTAAATTCCGCAAGTTAGGTGGACTGAAATATAGTTGACCCAAATCTTCTTGTTTTGGGTCATCCTACTGGGTCTTCTTTTTAGCATGAATAAGGTAACCTTTGGCTTTGATGATGCCTCGGCTTTTGACGATGATGGAGTACCGCAAGACCCACTCCAGCCTCCAGTCTGCCACCTGTAGGTCCTTACTGCTCTCCTGTACAGCCTCCTGAAAGCCTTCCGCACTGATCAGCTCTACAAACAGCCATTAAAATGTCTGTCACTCAGTGTTATGTATTGCAAAAGACATACATACTGTACAATGGTCAAATGTGTAGTAACTGCAATTTTACACAAATATGGCAAAACTATGGTAATGGTGCTGCTCTTTAGGTTGGTGGATCTCTTTTTTCTTAAATGTGTTCAAAGAAAAGGCCTTCAAACACTTCCAAAACAATCAGTGCCATTGTATCTATATCCTGTCTTAAATCAACACATGCTTATCTAGGTCATATCCAGAAGATAAGCAGGAGGGAGGGAAGAAGGGAGAAAAGGTTTGGCACCTTTAGAGTCATTGTGTGTCAGCAACTGGATATCGAACTCTTTAGCGAACGCAGTGAGGTCTGGAGGCATCACACAGCAGGAAGCCAGATTCACCTGGTTACTGCTGGGCTTCACCTGAACAAGGCAAAAAAACATACATACGCAAACTCAGAACATTCTGCAAACGTTCTAGAATTAGGGATTTAGTTTAGTTTATATGAAAGAATTGCATCAATATCCTAAAGTCCTAGACTGATTTCCACTGTGATCCTTAATATATAAGGGCAAAGATGGTGTATAACAACAGGTAGCATTTATTCGTTGTGCATACATCCAAAGAAAAAGCTTAAAAAACAATGAGGTAATTTTTCTAGCAGCAATGATTTTATTTTCCTCTGAAACTTAACAGAATAAGCTGTAGCCCTGGCCTTGACATACAGACTACTCCATTCACACACTCATGAATATCGAAGAGAGCTCTGACCAATTAAATTATTGATCTATTATTAAATCTAACTAAAGTAATCTAACTTGTAATCGTGTCACCGACATGACAAATGGAAGAAGGATGCTATTTTGGACTGTATTAATCACCTTTCTTTACAAAGTTGTAACGGTAATAAACAGCTTATTTCAACAGACTTATTTCACTGCCAAGCATGCGTCAGGACAAGTCTAATCTGAAGACTAAGCAATAGAAATGCTGGTGATAATTTCAAATTTATTTAAATCAGGGGTGCTGGAACTTTGCCTTGGGGGAGCCAAAATGCAATGCTTCTGGTTGGGCAAGGGCCAAAAAGTCAAAACTATAAACACATAAAGAAAGTTGGTGCGTTTCAAAAGGGTTTTTTTTTAAATGTATTTTATAATACTATACTTTCTTACTAAAATACTCCAATATGTTTTTGTGTTCTGTGTTCCTACAGAGCCAAATTACATCTTGATACATCGGAAACAATTACCACCATGTTGTGTGGCAATAAAAAGAATCAGTCAATCATGATAGGAAATGTTCATCTAAATGCAAAGAATACTTTTTGTAAAGGAATACAAAATAATACTTCCCAATAAATATTTATTGTATCATTTTCTAAATATCACAGTTATGAAGAAACAAAAACAAAAGACACATTCT